CCAGGGCTGGTCATGGGACAGAGTCATGGGAGGCTCATCTAGGGGCACAGCAGGGAGGTGGCTCCCCGCTGCTGTGCACACCTCTGAGGAAGGCATTGAGAGCATGTGCCCCTCATATTTGTGCATGGGGCAGAGGTGGGCTGTCTGCTTCAGGTTGGGGCTTTGAGCCCTGCAGCCTTTACTCTGGGAACTGTGCAATGCTATGTTTTGCCTCCTGCTGCCAGGCAGGCAGGGTCCACAGTGTGGCCAGCGCACAGCTCCCTGGGCAAAGGCAGCAGGGCATAGAGCCCCATCTTATAGTGGGCAGCCTGCCTCCACCCTGTGCGCAAATCTGGGGGGCACATGCCTCCCATGCCTCTCCTGGGGTGTGCGCAGCAGTGGGGAGCCGCCCCCTGCCCACTCTTAGATGAGCCACCTGCGGCTCCATCCCACCCCTCATTCCCAGTATCCCATTCACCTGAGGCTCTGCTCTGCCCCCTTCCCTCCCTCACCACAGGGGCTTCAATCTGTGCCTGTACCTCTTCCTTCCCACCCACCCCTGCAACCCCTTCCCCTCCACAGACATACCTGCTGGGTGCTGCTCTACACACTGCTGGACTGCATTCCTGTAGGGTTACCATATTTTCATTTTCAAAAAAGAGGACACCTGTTTAGAGAGGGTAATATGATTGTGGGTGGGGACAGTGATATGCCCATGCCCTGCCCTTGCCCCAACTCCCAAGCCACAGTGCCCCCCAGCCCTGCTGTTGCCCCTCACTCCTGACCCACAGTACCCCACATCCTGCCAGGGTATGCAAGGGTCCCCCCTCCCCAGGCTCCAACCCCCCCCACACCCACAGTTCCCCACACCATCACAAATTCCCCGACACCCCCCCCACCCCAACCATACAAAGTACCTGCATAATTTTGCATAATTTTGAGTTTTTATGCATATAATTTTGAGTTTTTAGCTGTGCAGTTAAAATTGCGATTAATTGTGAGTAATTTTTTTAATAGTACAATTAATCTCAATTATTTTTTTAATCCTTTGACAGCCCTACTCTCTTCCATTCTCTTACATCCTGTTATCTGAGGGGAAAAGGTAATCAAGTTACAGAGACACACTTTCTCTAAAATATTTTCCAAAGCCTTATCAAACTCCTAAAGAATTTACCTCCTTCCTTTCCCTTGTTACTGTGACAAAGTATTTATCACATCTAACACATGTTGGAGTACAACATGGCCACATCATGAGTGCTTCACCTATGGACTGAAATTCTTGATTTCTAGACTTCTAGCCACTCACTCTGGTGTCCATGCCACCAGAGTGGAGTAAGAACTTATCCCAACTTCATTTGACAAATTTCAAATGGCTTGCAATACATGTTTAATAATAAATATCCAAAAGACAGGAAGCATATCTGAAATGCTACATTCTACCAAACTAGTATGGAAATCTCATCAGTCAAGATTTCCCACAAGATTTCCTGTCCTTTAACTTCTTCTCCAAAATGGAAATACTATGGAAACTCTCTCCTACGGTACTAGAGACTATTTATCCCTGGTCTATTTATTACTTAATTGAATACTTATCTAATTATTGCAGAAGGTTGAAACATGTTACTAAAAGTGTTATTAAAAACAGAAACAAAGCCTCAAAACCACAACAAAATCACCTCTTCCAAACTTGTCACTCCAAACATTCTTCGTAGGCGCATTCTTCTAGTTGAGAAAGACTGGCTATAAGTCCCTTCCAGTTAATACCATGATATAACAGGCCAAGGATGATGTAGATTAGCTTCACTACATTCAATACACTGTTAACACAATAAGAATCAAATCTAGGACTTTCACACAGAAGTGAAGAGAACTACACTTAGTCAACAGTTCAGCTAACTTCAAATTTGCATTTTTATACCTATCATTTTAAATATACATATTTCCATTACATTGTTTAAAAACAGTTTCTCATCTGACATGTTGTATTTCCTGCCTGCATCCCACATTTTCTTTTTTACAGATAAAGCAAAAACACTTGGAAAAACAGCTATAACTATATTGGCACAAGCAGTTCTGCTCTAATTTAAAATGTGACTTCTATATGTCCAGAGCACTAGGTGCATAATCTTGCCAAAGGAATAGAAAACTCACCAACAAGATTGTGACATATATTGAATGCTTCACAATCATGATGATTTTTTTTCCCCCAGAGGGCAATATTTTGCAAATTCTGGGTACAATATATCTTCATCCTGATCCCTGGAGAGATACACACATAAATCCCCTGTGCACTGAGATGGGAACAAATTATTTCATCTGAAGCAGTCTCTCTTTTTTATGTTTTTAGTTTTTATTTTCAAATATGTACTAGTCTCTGCACTCAACAGTATTCAACTCCTCAACAAAAACAATATAGCACTTCTCTGCCCCACCCTCAAAAAAGGTAACCATCATCATGAACACAAGTTTTACTGGTGTGTATATGTGTGTGTGCTTTAGCCATCATTCTTAAAACTTAATTTGATTATCAAATATTATACTACTATGAAATAACAACAATACATATTATTGTTGGTGTCTTTGTTATTCAGGGAGTTTTTGCCATGTGTTAAAACCAAAGACTCTTAGACTTTATTTTCTATTATTTTCACTTATCTTTGCAAGTGATGTTTTGCAGTTGATTTCATACTTTACATTAGGAGAAGTAAACAGTACTTTCCCAATACAGTTTACATTGTTTTTTTCCTTACCTTACATAAGGCAGAGTGACAGACTGAGTCACTCTCCCTAAGGAATGGCAATGCAGTAGAAAATGTTAAAAACAAAAATGAGCATCAAAAGAAAGTATCATACAAAATTACTAACCATTGCTAGCAACAGTGAAAATGCATATGTAAATTATAAACTCTGAAAATCCTGGGCATATGAAGGGCCCCAGTTCTGAAAGCCTTTGCACATGCACACTCTTTCCCCATTTCTACAATCTTTTAACTCAATGAGGCCGGCCACACACATTCACAACTTCCACAACTCTGCTAAGGCTGAGATCCATAAAAACATTTAGACGGTTACCTCCCATTCTTTCACTGTTTTTCTTTCACTAGGAACTAGATGCCTAAATACTGTATGGAATGAGACCCAAACAGTTTCAGGATTGGGCCCACAGCTTCTATGGATTGGATGCTACAACTGCTGTTCACATTGAGTAGTATCATTTTCTCCAAATAGTCCAGTTAATTTCAGTGGAACTATTTTCAGAGTAGCATGTGAACTATGGGTTTCAGAATCTGGCTTTGTAGGGGCGGGGTTTACTTCCTAGCATCACCAGCCATTAAGCTAATATATTCTTTGAAACTGGAACATCTGGAAATACTCTTTACTGTTGTTTAGGAAAGGATGAGAACACCATGGAACTACTGAAAGGCAAAAGCATATTCATACTGTGATGGCACATGAAAAAGTAATTTGCATGCCCTTCTACTGAAATGAAACCTTGGGGAGCTGAGAAACCCACATAGTGCATTAATAGTAACAACTTTAGTTTTTCCACTGCAGGGAGATACCACATATGCTATATGTTCTGGTGACAGGGTTTTCAGTGCCATTATAAGAAAACAAATTTTCTACATCATACTGTTGAAGTGCTCCAGAGATATAGTGAGGTATTCTCTCTTTTTCTGGGTGTCGACATTCAATTCTAAGGTCCCCCCACTTCTAATTATCTTCCCAATAACTGTTTTATCTTTAAACCAAATAGTATACCTTCCTCTGGGATATCAGAGGCTTACACTGTCCAATTCCTGCTCCAGGGATAGTGAAAACAAAGTATTGTATCATATTTTAGTGTGAATGAAATATCATCTGACATAATACACCTAAAAATCATGACAGAATATAAACACAATTCACTGCAATGAAAAGAAATCCTAAAGCCAGCTGGATAATAGTCAGAAGCTTTTTGAGCATTAAAATGTAATTAAGTCTTAAAGAAGGATATTAAGTTTACCCCATGCAACATCAAGACTTTTCACAGCAAAACCATTATCACATTTTGACTGATTAAATGATTTAGAATGTCTTAAGAGAAGAGTTCTCAAATTATTTCAGATAGTAACATTATTTTGACTCAAGACCTTTTTTAGCTTTCATCATTTCACATATATATGTTCTTATCTATAATTCTTTTACCTTAATTTTCAAAATCTTTTAAAAGATAATGTCTTTTATTAATGAAACTTTATAAATGTTTATATTTTTAAAATTGCTACCCATTACAAGAGTTGCTAAAAATACATGAGAAATTAAAAATGTAAATGCTGCAAGAATGTAAATATCTTTATAAAAAGTACCTTATATTTTACTGGACACAGAAAATTAAAATAGTTTTTATAACAACAAAGTTATTGTAGACACTTAAAGAAATGTTCTAAGATATTTATCTGAAAATTGTAACCTGCCTACTGGTTTACTGGATCATATCAGTGAATGCAATGGCTAAATACATTCCTGACACAGTATTACATAGAACAATTTAAAATTACTGTGCAGCAAGGCTACAGTTCTGTATCACATTCTGTTTTATAAAACAATTTTTACACAATCCTATTATTTTAGTTATATATATTTGTTTAATCCCTCTTTAATTCTATATAACTTTTCGAGAGTGAAATAAATCTCATTCTTGTATAAATTTTTCTTTAAGCTACTAGCATGACATAGTAGTTCAAAATAATTGAAGCATATTACTTACAGATGTGTAGAGGAAACCTTCTCCATTTAGGGCTATATACAACCCTGTCTTTACACCCTGGATAGCGACAACACGAAGTCCCACTGGTATAAGGTTGAATAATGCTGTAAACAGAAATGTTATCTGTCACAGATGGGCTATGATAAACAAAACATTGTAACAACCAACTTTAATAAAAAAATAACTGCTTTTCCCTTCAAAAAACCCCTTCTAGCTTCAAAAAAATCCAATTAAGGAAATACAGGTACTGCATAAGTTACTGTACAACTTTTACCTTGAAAATCTATTTAGATTTTCATTCCTGCAGCATTTTGGTACTGGCACAACTGTCAGTCAACAAATAAAAAACATGTCTCCCTGGACATGAATATCACAAGAAACAGAAAAGGCTCAATGTAAGAAAGGAAATAGAAAATTTTGTCTTCTATTAGCTCAGTATGAGCATATGAGTAATAGTGGGTGTGTCTGCATGAGACTAATCTACTATGCAGTAAAGCATCACTGTTTACATGTGCACACCATTTGCTGCACAGTAAATTTGTTTACTGCACATTTAGCTACTACCTGTAAATATACGTAGTAAACTAAAGCAGCTAAACTATGTGAGTCCCAACAGTCAGCCCTTAACACCAAAGGGCCACAGGGGATGGGGAACTCCCCCGGTCCCAGTGCTGCTCAGCTCCTGGCTCCCCCCAGGAGCTGGGAGCCAAGCAGTGCTGGGACAGGGTAGCTTCCTCCCCACCCATCCCAGCGCTGCTCAGAGAGAGTGCTACCCTGTCCCAGCACTGCTTGGCTCCCAGCTTCTTGGGGGAGCAGCACCAGGACCAGGGGAGCTCCCCATCACTGTGGCCCTCTGGTGTTGGGGTTAACTGGGAGTTCCGCAGTTAGTTAGTAAATACAGGTAGTAGCTAACTGTGCAATAGACTAATTTAATGCACTGCAAATGGTGTGCATGTGTAGACAGTGAGCCAGGAGCCAAGAAGCTAAGTAGTGCTGAGCCTGGGGAGCTCTCTGCTTCTCTGCCCAGCCAGGGCCTGGCCAGGAGCTGTCTGCTTCTGGAGCAGCTCCCATCCAGCCCCCAGCAGGGCAGGAAAATCTCCGAGCAGCCAGGAGCTGGTTGGGAGCTGTCCCAGAAGCAGAACAGCACTTAGCCAGCCCCAGGCTGTGCAGGGAAGCCCAGCTGGGCACAGGCCTTGTCTTCCAGTCCCATGCACATCAAGACCCATCCCAATGTGCATGGGGCTGGGAGACAATTGCCAGTGCAGCTGGCAGAGCTTGCCTGGCCCAATGTACATTGGGACTGGCCCCCATGCTCCCTGCCACACTCCAGGCTAGTATCCTGGGGGAGACTGCAGTTCCCCCTGGCTGCTGAAGTGGGCCAGAGCAGAGTAAGAGCAGCCCTGTACTAGGCTGTTCTGGTTGGAAGCAGATTTGCTTCCAACAGGGAGCATGTGTAGATGTGCTCCCTGGGAAAATTTACTGCACAGTATTTTACTGTGCAGTAAGGCTTTATAGCATTAATAGCCTGTGTAGACACACCCAAGTAGGTATGAACACACATAATTTAGCTGCTTTATGAAGGGAAGAGGAGCTGCTGCTCCAAAAAGCACATCAGCTATTACAGTTATTGTTACAGGAACAATATAAGTTAACTAAATTACCTAGTTTTGACTTGGAGCAGAGCAGGCTTAAAGTTGGAGTAGTTTTGCTACACTTGTATCACTACAGAGCCATGCAGGGGTAACATTCTATCACATAAGCTTATATTGAAATATGTGGATATTGACACAAGTATTACATGCATCTATACTTGGTTATAGATTATCTATAGAATGACAAACTTCCAGCTCACATTGAAATCTTTTTTCTTAAATTCTTGAATATTACTTCAGTAGCATAACTCCAATCTCACTTGAGTATAATTTAATCTTTGATTCAAAAACTGAGTGTCCTCAGGAACCAGACATCTTTGTTGAGGGTATATTTGATACCAATAATAGTACAGGCAGTCCTCAAATTTACGACACGAATGGTTCCTAAAAACCACATCTCAAGTCAAAACATTGTAACTTGGAACCGATTTTCCCACAGGAAACAATGTTATAAATGGGGGATTGGTTCCTGAACCAAGGTCCAATACCCTATTTTCACCAAAAATAATCCAGAATTTTGTATTCAGTCAATTATAGATGATTACTATAGCTACATTAATGTATTTATATTGTAAATAGCAATCATATTGATTTGGAAGGACTTTTTTGAGGTGATTTTGCTGGACATTTTGAAGGGCTGTTGGTTGGACTTTTTGAAGGGTTCTTGACCAGAGTCTTCTCAGGAGGTCTTGCTTGCTTTCTTAAAGAAAGTGTCCAAGGAAGTTTGGACAGATGTTTTCCAGGGAGATGGGTGACACAGCGTACTTGTTTGCTGGCGTGGCTTGGCATCAGATCAAGGGCTGTAAAATCAAAAATGACATCAGAAAGCTGAAACAGGATGTCAATTTATAAATGTTGTAAGTGCGAAACTTTGTAACTCAAAACATTGTAAGTTGAGAACTGCCTGTACACAAAAAGCACTTAAGACCCAATTCAGGAAAACACTTAAGGTTTCATTTAAACAAATGCTTAAATTCCATTGGGAATGGGTTTTAAATATGTAGCTTAACATGCTAACTTGAATAGGCACGCTTCTCACAAATTAAACCTTTAAAGAGAAACCACTAGTAACAGCTACAGGAAACAAGATACATATTCTTAAGAGAACAGCAGCTGTATCTTTGATAAAAGTCTGAAAGCAAATAATGTAAAGCTGCAAAAAAGAAAAATACTTTAAAAATCTCTAAACCAAGGCAGCAAGCACAGAGAAAATAAGCATGGTTATTAATTTCATTTCTAAAATTCAATATTCATAAAAATGAAGCAGTTAAATTAAGAATGACATAAACAAACAAGGAGAATTAGAAATTTTTCATCTCCCTGGTTTTTTTATTGAAAATTCAAAATGTCAAGATGCACTTGTACTATAATACATGAGCAAGAAGACAAATCATATGTATGAGTCCCACCCAGTAAAACACCTGACAAAAAATGAACCCACTGAAAAAGGCTTTAGTGGATTTTGAATGGTTGCTTCCTGTTTAAAAGTGAAATACACACAACTATATGAAATTAAACCAAATAAGAAAAGGCCATGCTTTTATTTCGAATTATGCCTGGAAGCATTCATAGGTGAGCGTGTTGACTTGGACTGTGAGATTAAATACAAAATGTACAGCAATAAATTTATGAAGAAGATCCTTTGATAAGCCAGAACTCATGTTTGATGGGTTTTGGACCCCAGATGAGCTGTGAAATGGATTTCAAAACAGTTGCAAAAGTTGTATTTGGCTGTTCTGCATTAGGAAAGCAATGGAATATATGCATCAAGAAAACATGTTCCATGAGTCAGTCTGTAAAATACTGGAATTCCAATGTAAGTCAGGTAAAATGGAAATTAATTTGCTCTATAGAAGGTATATATGTAACGAAATTATAAAAGACCATGGTTAGTTAAGAAATGACTATAAATATAAAGAAAAGACAATATTGTATTGGTCGTGATGATGCTGAGTAAATGTGCTACATAATCTGGTCTCTTTCTATGACCTTCATCTGTGGGTCCTGAGGGAATTGGCTGGTGTCATTGCAGAGCCATTGGCACGGCTGTTTGAGGACTCCTGGTGCTCGGGCCAAGTCCCTGAGGACTGGAAAAGGGCCAATGTGATCCCTATTTTCAACAAAGGGAGGAAGGAAGAGCCTGGCAACTACAGGCCAGTCAGCCTCACTTCTATCCTGGGGAAGGTCTTTGAAAAAATTGTCAAGGGCCACATTTGTGAGAGCCCTGCAGGGGAAGTGATGTTAAGGGGTAACCAACATGGGTTCGTGCAAGACCGATCCTGCCTAACCTGGTCTCTTTCTATGACCAGGTAACAAATTGCTTAGATGTGAAGGAGGAAGTTGATGTCATCTTCTTGGACTTTCAGAAGGCCCTTGACACAGTGTCCCACCCAATTCTGGTGGGCAAGCTGAGGGACTGCGGCATTGACGAATGCATGGTCACATGGGTGGCAAACTGGCTCCAGGGGCACACCCAGAGGGTGGTGGTGGACGGGTCAATGTCGACCTGGGAGGGTGCGGGCAGTGAAGTCCCCCAGGCCTCGGTCCTTGGGCTGGTGCTGTTCAACATCTTCATTAGCAACCTGGACGAGGGTGTGGAGAGCACCCTGTTCAAGTTCGAAGCAATAGGCAGAGCCAACCGCACCCTGTCATGCATCAACAGGGGCATTACTAATAGGTCCAGACAAGTCTTGCTCCCCCTCTATGCGTCACTGGTCAGGTCACAGCTGGAGCACTATGTCCAATTCCGGGCACCGCACTTCAAGAGGGGTGTGGAGAACCTGGAGAGGGTCCAGAGGAGGGCCACTTGTATGGTTGAGGGCCTACGTGGCCAGCCCTATGAGGAGAGGCTGAGGGACCTGAATCTCTTCAGTCTCCACAAGAGGAGACTGAGGGGGGATC